GGGGGGAGCATTGTTTTTCCATAGAAATTTCCCTTTTTTGCCTCTTTTATTCCCACCTTTTCCTTTTTTTTCAGATCTATTTATTATTATTTTCCCCTCCCCAGTGTGTGCAGTGGGGAAGGGGGAGGGGGAGCCCAGGAAATGGGGAGACCCCAAAAATGGGAATCCCCCCTTTCCCCCCCCCACTCCAAGAACTGGGGAGAACCCCAAAGAAAGGGGGGGTGTCAGGAGATGAGGTGAACCCCAAAATTTGGGTCCCTACCCAGGAATTGGGGAGATCCCTAAGAATCATAGAGGTGCACCAAGAACTGGGGGGGAGGGGTCATAATGGGGGACACCCCCGAGAAGTGGGGGACCCCCCCCAAAAGTGAGGATCAGCGAAGAAATGGGGACCCCCCCCCCCCAAGAAGCGTTGAGGCGCCCCGGGATGTGGGGACACAGCAGGAATTGGGGACACGGGGGGGGTCTGGGGGGGTCCCTGAGATCTGGGGGTGCTCTGAGGAATGGAAGATGGAGACCCCAAAGGCACGGAGACCCCAGGAGCGTCGGGGGACCCCAAAAATCTATGAGGAACCCAAAGATGTGAAGACCCCAAGAATATGGGGATCCCAAAGACCTGAAGACCTCAAGAACTATGAAGACCCCAAAGTCCTGGAGACCCCAAAAATACATGAAGACCCCCAAGGACATGGAGACCCCAAAGTCATGGAGACCCCAAGAATCCATGAGGACCCACAGGTCATGGAGACCCCAAAAAGGTGGAGACCCCAAAGAACATGGAGGCCCAAACTCATGGAGACCCCAAATGAGAACATGGAGACCCCAAAGACGTGAAGTCCCCAAAAGTCATGGGGACCCCAAAGACATGGAGACCCCAAAGACTCGGGAACCCCAAGAATGGAGACCCCAAAGAAGACATGGAGACCCCAAGAACGTGGAGACCCCAAAAGTCATGGAGACCCCAAGTCATGGAGACCCCCAAGAACATGGAGACCCCAAAGATATGGTGGCTCCAGAACTCACGGAGACCCCCAAAAGATGGAGACCCCAAGAACTACGAAGACCCCGAAGTCATGGAGACCCCAAAGACTGTGGAACCCCAAGAACACGGGATCCCAAAGACACGGAGACCCCCAAGGACATGGAGACCCCAAAATTCATGAGGACCACAAGACGATGGAGACCCCAAAGATGTGAAGACCCCAAAGACATGAAGACCCCCAAGAACATGGAGACCCCAAACACTGTGGAACCCCAAGAACAGAGACCCCAAAGAAGACATGAAGACCCCAAAGAAGACATGGAGTCCCCAGAGACATGGAGACCCCAAAGAAGACACGAAGACCCCAAGGGCACGGAGACCCCAAAATTCACGGAGACCCCAAGAACACGGAGACCCCAAAGAAGACACGAAGACCCCAAGGCCGTGGGGACCCCAAAGACACGGAGACCCCGAGAACACGGAGCCCCCAGCACTCGAAGCCCCCCACCCCACAGAAGCCCCCCAAGCCTGGGGAGCGGGGATGCACCAGGAATGGGGGAACACAGCGGGAACGTCACTGGGTGGGGGGGCGGGGAGGGGGGAGGGGAGGGATTTGGGGTCGCCCCCCCAGAAATGGGGGTCCCCGAGAAGAGTGGGGTGGGGGCGCGGCGGGACGGGGCCCCCCGGGGTGGGCGGCTCTTTGGTTGAGCGCACGACTCTGAGGTATTTGTCCGCGGGCTGGGGGGTCTGGGGGGGTCCTGCGCCCCTCCTC